GGCAGCCACAATATGGTGGCAATAATGATATCTCAGCAATGGTGTGTTCTTTGGAATAGAAGTTTTGGCATTTCCTATTTTTCAGTCAGTGCTCCTATGAATGGTTTAGTCACAGGATCCAAATGCAGAGCTGAACATGTGTTCCTCTTTAAGGACGTTTCCGTGGCTTTGCCAGCTGTACTCACCCTCATGCACGGTCACAAAACCTGATTACTGTAGAAGGAGAGCTGAGAGCTGTGTACTGCACTGGGTGCAGCAGGAGCAAGGGCAGTGGGCTCCTGCCTCAGGGCTTTGGCAGCTCTCATTCATATGAACAATTTCACTGTTTTGTATAAAGAAATACCCAGCTGTTACCGAAACTGATGAGAGAGGTTTCCTTTTCACTGCTTTCAACAGGAGCTATTGTAGCTGAGGCTGCTCTTGTAACCTGCTGGTGTTAAAATCTTCCAACTTATTCTGAAATAAAACTGGCAAAGCTATTAATGAGTGACACAAGCCATTTTTCCTGCAAGTTGATACCTGATCACTGTAGACAGTCAGAGAACAAAACCAGAAGAGATCTCAGTTAATATGTAGCTTAATATATACGTTAATATAAATTATACAGAAAGCATGACTGTTTCACATGTTAGCTCCAAAGAGATACTGTACTATCAAACATGAAGAGAAGTCTTCACCTCCAGCAACCTGCTGAACTTTACGTCTGTGTTAAACGGGAAACTTAGGGAAGATAACTACACCTGAATGTGATGTGAGCACACCATTTATTTTCTCTTTTAGATCAATGATCATTCTGTCTCTGTTAAGCTTATGGAGCACTCACAAGTAGAAGTCTCAGCCAAAAAACTTAGATAGTAACTTGCACACTTTTAACATTTGAACATTTTAGTTGCCTGCTGACCCCAGTAAAAACCTCTGGTTTTCATGGCTTGCCATCTTTCTGAGCTTCAGGTATTGTGTTAGCACTCCTTCTCTGCACCCAGCTGGACTTGGGATCCCTTCCTCTGTGAGACATGGTTCACTGGAGTATCTCTCCGCACTTTGTGCAAGCTGCCCTGCTAACCCTTCCTCTTATAGCTTTATATATTGATATATAGCCATATAACCACAGAGCCAAGCGTGGTTTCAACTCCTGTGGTAAGCTGAAATTTTGGAGCTAGCAGCAGGTGGGCGCACATGTAAACAGACCACAAGGCCAAGAAAATGATGCTGAGGTGTTTTTGCTCTAAAGATGTGTGTATTAATTTTCTGTGAGGGCATTCCTTGGCTGTATGTTTAACTGCCTCTATGTTGTATGGTTTTGTGGGATAAAAGCTTATAGAAACATGGTGCTTGGGGGTGAGAGAATTCAGATTTTCCATGGGGATAATCATGATGTGGTATTTGGTGGTTTTACCCAGCTGTGCAGCCAAACTCTACGACAACCGTTCTCTCAGTCCCCCCTCCTCAAAGGGAAAGGGGGAGAAAATACAGTGCAAAGGGCTCACGGGCTGAGATAAGGACGGGGAGATCGCTCAACAATTATTGTAACAGGCAAAACAAACTCAGAGTAAGAAGGTAGTAAGAGTTATTGCCTATTACCAACAAACTAGACACGTGAGAAACAAAGGAAAGAAACACAAAACGCCTTCTCCCCATCTGCCCTCTTCCACCTCCTCCCCCTTAGCAGCACAGGGAAATGGGGGAATGGGGGCTGCGCTCAGTCCCTGATGCTTTGTCCCCGCCGCTCCCTCAGGCTCCCTCCCTGCCCCTGCTCCCCATGGGGTCCCTCCCACGGGATGCCGTCCTTCCCCAGCTGATCCCACACGGGCTGCCCACAGGCAGCAGCTCCTCAAGCACTGCTCCCACACGGCTCCGTCCCACGGGCTCCATCCATCCATCCATCCATCCCCCAGGAGCAAACTGCTCCAGCACGGGTCCCCCACGGCTGGGCGGCAGCTCCCCCCAGACCCCCTGCTCCTGCGGGGGCTCCTCTCCACGGGCTGCAGCTGCGGCCCGGGGCCTGCTCCTGCGGGGCTCTCCGTGGGCCGCAGCCTCCTCCAGGCCACATCCACCTGCTCCACCGGGGGCTCCTCCACCCACGGGGGGGCTGCAGCGTGGAGATCTGCTCCGTGGGGGACCCATGGGCTGCAGGGAGACAGCCTGCTCCACCGGGGGCCTCTCCCTGCACAGCCCGCAGGGGAACTGCTGCTGCCTGCCTGGAGCACCTCCTGCCCTCCTGCTGCACTCCCCTGGGGGGCTGCAGGGCTGCTTCTCCTCTCTTTCTCCCTGGGAAGCAGCTTTTTTTGTTGTTCTTTTTGTTCTCCTTTCTTAATTACACTCTCACAGAGGAACAAGCGACATCGTTTCTTGGCTTGGCTCTGGCCAGCAGTGGAGCCCTTCTCTAACGTGGGGCAGCTTCTAGATTCTTCTCACGGATGCCACCCCTATGGCCCCCTGCTACCAAAACCTTGCCACGTAAACCCACCAGAGCAACTCTTTCGGTGAAGAAATTTTTCGTAAGAACCAACCGAAACCTCCCCTGGTACAACCTAAGGGGTTTTGTTCTTGTCACTTGGGGCTTGGGAGAAGAGAACGATCCCCACCTCTCTGGAGCCTCCTTTCAGCTTCCTGTAGAGCACAGGAAGGTCTCCCCTGAGCCTCCTTTTCTCCAGGCTGAACAAGCCCAGCTCCCTCAGCCGCTCCTCACCAGACTTGTTCTCGAAACCCTTCACAAGCTTCAGAGCCCTTCTCCGCACACGCTCCAGCACCTCGAGGTCTTCGCTGAACACAGTGCTCGAGGTGCGGCCTCACCAGAGCCGAGCACAGAGGCACAACCGCTTCCCTAGTCCTGAGGGCCACTCTATGTCTGATACAAGCCAGCTGTAGAGATATTTAGATGCATAGATATGCAGCACTAGTACATGTTCCTTGGAACACTGGTCAAACTCTCTTCAAACCCCGTAAATTGATGGTTTCCTCTAACTGGCACTGACGCTTCAGCTGGATCCTCTAAATCCCATGTTACTGCTTCTGCTTCCCAAGCAGGTGACGGAAACTCCTAACCGCAGAGCAGAGGAGTTGTAGTTCTGTCTACAGGCAATATTTGGAAGTTTGGAAGATGCTTCCCTTGCTCAGCTGCCATCCCTACGTTAATCAATCAGCCGATCTTTTGCCTTCCAGCAAAAGTCTTGATGCAGTTCTTAAGGAAAGTTCTTTCTGAAAATCCTCAGCCACCTCTGTGCACGCCAAACCTTTCATGGCACTGTGCAAGGCGCGGGTGGCAGCGACAAATCAGGTTGTGGAATGAAGGGCAACGTGTGGGGAGGGAATTTGCAGGCGGCTTCGCGCTGCTTTGCAGGTCCCTGAATTAGAGGTAATGAGGAAACAAGCGGAAGAAACAAAACCTTGAGCAAGGCTGAGATCAAGAATTGGTTACAGTGTTAAAGAGGACCTTTGGGCAGTGGGCAATTGCTGGCTGGCTCCAGGCACGTGTCTGAGGGTCTCTGACCAACTGTAGGATAGATTCGGGCGCGTGGACAGCACGTGGGGCTACGGGGAGAGGACATGTAGGAGTGAAAAAGGGCAATAAACGCCTCCTGTTCCAGAGCCATCAGGAGTCTGTGTCTTGCATCCCTTCAGCAACACAAATATTTGGCTCCAGATCCAAAATGTCATGTATTTGGCAATTTTATTTATGGTAGCACTCCCCTCCCGTCCCCTCCCCTCCCCTCCCCTGCCCTCCCCTCCCCTCCCCCTCTCCTTCCCCTCCCCTCCCCTCCCCTCCCCTCCCCTCCCCTCCCCTCCCCTCCCCTCCCCTCCCTCCCCTCCCCTCCCTCCCCTCCCCTCCCCTCCCCTCCCCTCCCCCTCCCCTCCCCTCCCCTTCCCCTATGCTCCCTGTCCCTACACTCTGCTACACTCCCCTCCCCTATCCTACCCTACACTCCCCTACACTCCCTGCCCCTACACTAACCTATACTCTCCTACACTCCCCGCCCCTATCCTACCCTACACTCCCCTCCCCTACACTATCCTATACTCTCCTACACTCCCCTCCCCTATCCTACCCTACACACCCCTACACTCCCCTCCCCTATCCTACCCTACACTCCCCTTCACTACACTACCCTACATTACCCTATGCTCCCCTCCCCTATCCTACCCTACACTCCCCTCCCCTATCCTACCCTACACTCCCCTCCCCTATCCTACCCTACACTCCCCTCCCCTATCCTACCCTACACACCCCTACACTCCCCTCCCCTATCCTACCCTACACTCCCCTAAACTCTGCTCCCCTACACTACCCTATACTCTCCTACGCTCCCCTCCCCTCTACCACGCTACACTACGCTACGCTATGCTACCCTACGCTATGCTATGCTACACTACCCTATCCTACCCTCCCCATACCTCCCCTACACTATCTTCCCCTGCCCTGCCCTTCCCTCCCTGTCCCTCCCCTCCCTTCCCCTCCAATTCCCTCCCCACCCCTTCCCTCTCTTTCTTTTATTCCCTCCCCTCCCCTCCCCCTCCCCTCCCCTCTTGTCTTCTTCTCTCCTCTTTTCTTTCTTTCAGGTATCTTCAGATCGCTTCAGTCGTTCTCATAGCTCCTATCCCTGGCTGATTCACGGGAACCCAGCAGCAGCAACCAGAAGCGCTCCAGCTGCTGTGTCCCTAGGCGAGCAACAGTTTCCAACTGGCAATCGCTGACTTCCTTCTGTGGCTCGGACAGGTGCCTTGCAGTTCCAGCGTGGCCTGGACGTGTCCTCTTGCTGTGTCCCCACCTACAGCGCAGTTCTGCTTAGAAGCAGCAGCAGGCTTTGGAAGTAGTCCCACTCCTTCCATTTTCAATGGGTTAGCTTGGCTAGCCGGGTGGTGTCTGTCAACAGAAGACAACAAAGAGATTTGGGTTAGAAACAGCTAACTGAGTAGTTCCTTTGCACAAGGGCAAGGAATATTTACCCCTTCCTAATGGAGACTGCAGTGTCAGAGATAATGACGGGTCCTTCAGAGAGCTTTGAAATATCCCTTGGCGATGCTGAGTCCAGAGGAAATCTGTCTAAAGTACACCGTGGAATCGCTCTGGTTTACTTCCGAGCAGAACAGAAGCATGTGTCCGATACGGCTTCAGCTGGCTGCAGTGTTCTTCTTCACCTCATACCTAAAGTAAGATAAGAGGTCTCAATGCAGATGGAAAGATTGAGAAATAGAGAAATCCCTGATGCGCTTTGAGAACTTCTAAGAACTGAGAACTACATCAATCCAATGGCGTAACATTAAGGATCGCTTAGAAAAGTAAACGTTCAAAACAAGGAAAGGAGAAGAACAAGTAAGCTTTCTTAAAGCATCTATTCTATTGCAAGGATCTTTAAATAAGTAAATAAGTAATGAAATATATACGCAGAGAGAGAGATAGATAGACAGAACCCTAAGAAACTGCTGCGCAGGTGAGCTTCTTGCTCTCTTTTCTCAAAGTCCCAGTGAATACAGCATCTGTGTGCGTTACAAGCATTACCCTCAGTCCACCAGAGGTACACACGAGAGGACAGCCTGCAGGTTGCGGAGGCAAAGAAACTGCTCTGGCTGGATGTGAAGAGCCACGACAGAAGTTGCTGTCAGGGAAAAGATACACAGAGGGGATGGATGAAAAACACGGAGTGTGCTTCCGACCTTCACAACTGCTAAGCAAGTGGAGATGAGGGTGTGGAAGAAGCAAATCAGCTGCTGATCGAGAAGCAGCCTGAAGATTGCCCTTAAGCAGGGCCTTGCATTCTTTGTTTTTAGAGCATTGCTTGCCTTCAAGTGCACGATCAGGATTTTATTAACTTTCTCCCACTACAGAACTGCACCCGATTCCTTCACAAAACTTACGGGGGGGAATTGGAAGTCTTGGTCTGCATTCTCTCTTGCCTTCTTCATCTCAATTCTCTTTTGGCCTGTGAAGCTTTTCGGATCAGAGGAGAAGATCCACTGTAACACGGAGTTTTGGATACTGCAAAGGAAATGAAGAATCGTACTGACAACTCTTGTCAACCTCACCTGCAACCATCACAGAAAAGAATAGCGAAAGAACCCCGCTTTCTCATGGGAAGCATAAATTTGAGCATAGGTGTCCTCTAGCTGAAGCGAGGTGAAGCAGGTTCCAAACAAGGGGAAGGAGCACACCCAGAAGCATTTCCATAAAGCTGTGTTTTCAGACAAACGGTTTAAAGACTTAGATTTTCTTACAAGTGAAGAATGAAACAAGAAAGAAACGAAAATTACCTGGACATCCAGTTTTCCTCTAGCTTGCTTTGCTTCTTTCTGAATCTGAGTCTGGAGTGACAGGCAGGGAACAGCATTGTGCAGAAATGCCAAAGCCTCCCCAGCTTGTTGTACCTTCATCAACAAGGCCTTTGGTACTGCCGCCTCCTCAGCAACATCAGCAATTTCCTAGGAAAGCTGGTGTCCACCAGGTCAAACAGGAATGGGAAACCCCTCTTGCCACAGCTTCACACTCACACCAGAGTTGGCAGGACAGGCCGACGGACAGAGAAGGGTCTGTAAGAGTGTTAGAAAACAGACTTGAAACAGATTTCTGCCAACCCAGGACAAATTCCTTGCTCATCCCTTCCAACTGAACTCGAAGTAGAAGGAGGTGATCCCAAGCTCCACTCCTGACATCTCTGCTGCAAAGTCATCGAATGTGACATGTTACTGTACCAGCCTGTTACAAACAGAAACAGGACTTTGAGGTTATGCTGTCTGATTCGAATGAAGCTCAAAGTGTCCTTCGGTATGTTTTTGTCTGCAAGTGTTTTCACTGTCTCCCAGACAATGTCTCCAGCAAGCTAGCTGCTTGTTTCATTTGTTCTGTGCTGTTTTGTTTTCTCAGGAAGGATTCTTAGAGAAATGAGATTAAAGTGATCATCTTGTATGTCCATCCCTCTCTCCCTGCCCTTCGCTTGTCCAGAGCTTTTACCTTGTCCAGCAGCTTGAATGAACTCGCTCCTAGGCGCAGTTGTGTCCAAGCCATTCTGTTGCTAGGCGTGTTGTGCAAACAGACAGCTAAGTGGTGGGGAGAGGTCACACTGTCTGCAGTGTGACCTCAGCGCTTACCAAGCAGTAGGGAATACACAGAGAAGGGCGTTAGGAAAACTTCAAGCCCCACATACATTTGAGGTGGAAACCATGTTTCCCAAGATAACACTGGGCACAACGCCATCATCAAAATGTGTTCATTTCTTGGTTCATCCAACTCCTAGGTTTGAGGTTTAATACGTTTCTGTCTTGGCTTAAAGCACTCTTCCAACCTCTCTTTCCAGTTCCTATGATTTCCTGCAATAGCTAATCCCACTTTTCCTTTTGACAATCTCACAGGCTCTTCTTTTTTACCTCTCCCCAAGAAACTTAGAACTGCTCTCGTCATACTTGACAACTAGATATGGAGCTGTATGAGCCAGAAGGAAGTTTCCTTCACACTTGCTGCTTCTTACGCTACCTGGGCTCTTACCTTTACTCTTACTCGCCCTTCCTACAGTAGCGCAAAGAAAGCTGCTTTGGAGATCTGATGTCTTGTTTTCCAGAAGCTACCCTGAATCACCTTTACAAGAGCTGTCCCACGCTGCGAGCATACGTCTTGCAGTCTGGCCAGATATTTGCCTTCCAAGTCAATAACCAAATCTGTCAAGTTAAGAGCATGGAATTAATGGAGAGGAAATCCTTTTATTTATTTATTTATTTATTTATTTATTTATTTATTTATTTATTTATTTTCCTAGACCGATGAATTGTGGGGAACAAGCAAAACTCTGGTGAAAAATGAAATGAAAAATGTTAAGGTCAGGCAGCTTGCCCACTGCAAGTGCTAGCCTGAAAGCAGAAGGAGTGCATCTTCATACACCACAGCCTGAGACACTACTCGACAGGCCAGCCCATGTGATGAAGTACATTGCTGTCCTGAATTTCACAGAATCACAGAATCACAGAATTTCTAGGTTGGAAGAGACCTCAAGATCATCGAGTCCAACCTCTAACCTAACACTAACAGTCCCCACTAAACCATATCCCTGAGCTCTACATCTAAACGTCTTTTGAAGACTTCCAGGGATGGTGACTCCACCACCTCCCTGGGCAGCCTGTTCCAGTGTCTAACAATCCTTTCAGTAAAGAAGTTCTTCCTAACATCTAACCTAAAACTCCCCTGGCGCAACTTAAGCCCGTTCCCCCTCATTCTGTCACCAGGCACGTGGGAGAACAGGCCAACCCCCACCTCTCTACAGCCTCCTTTAAGGTATCTGTAGAGAGCGATAAGGTCGCCCCTGAGCCTCCTCTTCTCCAGGCTGAACAAGCCCAGCTCCCTCAGCCGCTCCTCATAGGACTTGTTCTCCAGGCCCCTCACCAGCTTCGTTGCCCTTCTCTGGACCCGCTCAAGCACCTCGATGTCCTTGTAGCGAGGGGCCCAAAACCCAACTGAAACTGATTTTTTGAATGTGACAGGGGGACTCCTAAGCCTCTTGTTTATGCTTAACAAAACAAAACACAAAACAAAACAAAAAACACGCACTTTTTTCCTCAGCCAGCAACAAAACACTTACAGAAGGGCATGGGCCCTCTCTGTGCACCTCAAGGTGACATGCACAAATCCTCGCGTGGTTTCATCACATCCAGCACCCTTCTCTGTGCCTCCCAGCTAAACGTGCACAGAGGCAGCTGTTCCCAAAGTGCTGTGGTGACATCATTCAGGTCTGTTTCTGAAGTCATCACCGCAGGCGCCTCGCAATGACAGCACAACACTCCCTGTAGCTAATGCGTCTGTCTCAGAAACAGCTAGAGAAGTACCACTATGCCCAAACTGCCTTTCATTAGAGTAGATCCCAAATTATTCTCTGCTCCCCTACGTCTGCGGAAGGTGTGGGATAAATCTGTTCCTTGAGAAAGGATTACAGGCAAAAAGAGCTTGATTCTGATACAGTGCCCGTACTTGGAGAGCAGTTCACCTTTGATTTCCATGGAAGAAAAGAGAAGGGGAAATCAACAATTCTCTTCCTCCGAGCTGGCAATAGGAAAGAACCCCAATTCTCCAGGAAGCCTTAAGAAGGAAACTATGCATCTCCTTGCTAAACATCTTGTTTCTTCGGAAAACTTTTCCAGTCCTTTGCAACTGCGGTGGTCTGAAGCGGGTGGGCAGCCGAGTTCCACCACGGCCGCTCTCTCACTCCCCCTCCTCAAAGGGAAAGGGGGAGAAAATACAGTGCAAAGGGCTCAAGGGCTGAGATAAGGACAGGGAGATCGCTCAACAATTCTCGTGACAGGCAAAGCAGGCTCAGCGTAGGGAGGTAGTAAGAGTTATTGCCTACTACCAACAAACTAGACACGTGAGAAACAAAGGAAAGAAACACAAAACGCCTTCTCCCCATCTGCCCTCTTCCACCTCCTCCCCCTTAGCAGCACAGGGAAATGGGGGAATGGGGGCTGCGCTCAGTCCCTGATGCTTTGTCCCCGCCGCTCCCTCAGGCTCCCTCCCTGCCCCTGCTCCCCATGGGGTCCCTCCCACGGGATGCCGTCCTTCCCCAGCTGATCCCACACGGGCTGCCCACAGGCAGCAGCTCCTCAAGCACTGCTCCCACACGGCTCCGTCCCACGGGCTCCATCCGTCCATCCATCCCCCAGGAGCAAACTGCTCCAGCACGGGTCCCCCACGGCTGGGCGGCAGCTCCCCCCAGACCCCCTGCTCCTGCGGGGGCTCCTCTCCACGGGGGGGCTGCAGCTGCGGCCCGGGGCCTGCTCCTGCCCTGCGGGGGCTCTCCATGGGCCGCAGCCTCCTCCAGGCCACATCCACCTGCTCCACCGGGGGCTCCTCCACCCACGGGGGGGCTGCAGCGTGGAGATCTGCTCCGTGGGGGACCCATGGGCTGCAGGGGGACAGCCTGCTCCACCGGGGGCCTCTCCCTGCACAGCCCGCAGGGGAACTGCTGCTGCCTGCTTGCTGCACCTCCTGCCCTCCTGCTGCACTCCCCTGGGGGGCTGCAGGGCTGCTTCTCACTCCTCTCTCCCTGCTGCTGTTGCATGATGTTTTTTCCCTGTCTTAAATCTGTTCTCCCAGTGGCCCACCCAGCATTGCTCCCTGGCATTGGGTCCATTTTTGGAGCCAGCTGGAGCTGGCTCTGCTCTGATATGGGGCAGCTGCTGGGCTCTGCTTACAGAGGCCACCCCTGCAGCCCTCCCGCTACCAAACCCTTGCTGCACAAACCCAATACAGGGGCTTGAGTTTCCCCCTGCATAGCAAGGCTGCACCTTTTATATGGTGGGGGAACCCCTCAGTCCCAAGTAAAAAGCATCATACTAAAAACAGTTTTGAAAAATGGCCACCGATACCTGAACAGATCAGTGGCTGAGGTCCAGCAGGAGGTTGAGCTCGTCCCAAAAAAGACACCCAGGGCTTAGCTCAGGTGTTCTGAGCCTGTGTGAATGGATGCTGGCTGTTTTTCCTGTGGGTGCTGTCAGGTGCAAGCACAGAGCTAGGGGAGCAGTGGGCCAGACTACTGAAGCCACAGAAGTACTGGCCTCAACTGGGAAATGACCAAAGCAGGGTTGCAGAAGAGTTCGTAGGATCATATGTTGTGTTGGCATGCAAGAACAAGGGCTAGAATAGCTTTGCCTGGGACAATGAGATGGGCTGGTGTTGAAGGTGCACCGTGCGTTTCAAAGTATACCCTGGAGCATTAACTTATTATGCACATCACCTTCTTTTTTTCCTATTTTCATAGACATGTTAGTAAATCAAAGATTATAACCAACATAAAAAGTGCTGGGTTACAAATAAGTTACAGTCTGAATACAAGTGTGATTTATAATTCAAAAGCTCAAGCCATAGATCAGTTCAATGACTCTTAAATGAATGCAATAGCATTCAAAGTGGCATGACTTATAAATCAGGTTCGGACTTCATATATCAAATTGGTGGAATGCAGATCCATTATTTGACAAGGTATGTTGACAATCCAGGACATAAATAGTATCATAAGTATATTTTGACATGGGTTGCCTTGGTTATAACCATCCCTCAGTAAGGTGAGTAAAGAACAGGTGCTACTCCTGCATTTGCTACACAGAAGAGCTGAGAGAGGTCATTTTGCCACTGTGAGAAGGCAGCACAGCCACCTCAGTGGGGAACACCTGCTTTGTGCAGCAGAGTGAAGATTTCAGTGCTAGCCCTGACCCTGCAACTCCAGTGGAAAGAAGCCGTGTGTGTATAATGCTGAGCTGGGATAATCCACATACATGCATGGCTGCACTGCACTGGGGGCTTCAGGCCTGTGTGTTGGTGGTATTCTCCCCCATCCTATGTGGGTGTACTGACTCCCTCCAAACCAGGCTAGTATCTCTGGCTCTGCACTGAATTGTGCTGCGTACACGT